TTTAAAAACCTATTCATAAATGCGATGATACAAGGTTTTACGCCTAACTATTAATCACGATTACTTGCACAGCTATTAATCATGGTATCTATAAAAACTACTTAATTTTTTTAAGCTTCATGTTTTAACTAATCATTTTTATCGACAATATTAGCAAAGATTGTATTAATTACTTATGCTCGTAAGCTTCATGCAAAAATGATTGCATCGGTTAGAATGAGCAATCTATCAATCATATGTACACTGAAAACTAAAACGCAAATTTAAAACTACAAAGATTACTAAAGACAAGAAACGAAACTTACAGAAACACATTACTATTGACAAAGCGAGTTGTCAGTCATTGTTTCTACGAAAAAGATGAAACTTTAATCACTAACCGACATCAATTATCGATATAACACGTTCGAAATTCCAAAGTGAATCATGTCGAAGACAAGCTATCGTCGAACCAACCTTATAGCTTCTACGAGATTAGAAAAATAAACCGAGATAAAATTTACAAGCAATATGCGGAATCGAATTACCCGAGACAAATATCCCAGATTGGCAAAATTGTGTCAAAATACACGTGGAGATATTATAAATTGACAAAATTATGATATACTACAACAGCGCACAATTCCCTAGAGAAAAAAGAAAACAGAAAAATTAACCCTTTGCGCTCGACGATTTTTTGGCTAAAGAAGGGTACGAGTTGAAAGATTTTCTGAGCAGTAAATAACAAATCATATAATAATTAACACGTAGAATTATTTAATTTCGATACTTCGCACACTGTTACGTTATTTTAAATTTGATCTATTAATTAATATCGAGCTTCGAAATTTTATCAAATCGGGACTGAAGGGCGTCTCTCGAGTGCAAAGGGTTAAATTACAGTATTTCCCAGATATATAAAAATGAAAAAACAATCTATGTTTGAAATTCGTTTAAAAAACAAACACTTGCTAAGAAGCCGAATGATACCTAATTAAACATAATATCAACGCGTGAAATCTAATCGCCGTTCTCATATGTTTATATTGTAAACATTATTATATAATGTACAAGAAACTTACGGTAAAACAAATAAAAATTGGCAAGTTATTTGAGAGTAGACATATGAAAAAGGCAGACATAAGACAAATATTAAGCAGTCATTTCCCATACAATAACAGGCTGATTGTCACAGGTTTAATCTCGTTATGACCGTCTGGTATAAAAAGTAAACCAAGACAAGACTTGGTTTTCTGGATTTGACTAGTAACCCGTGTTAATTTATATCACGTAACGAAGTCTGTGAAATATACCATAAAATGTATTCTGGGTATTCATGTACGATTTATACTAATTTTCAACTTTTATTATTCGTTAACAACATCTTAAGATTTATGTATCTAAAAATTCCCATGCAAATTTCTGCATTAGAATATTCCTCGAATTTGACGATATCACTAACATATTTTCAGAGGATGAATGGATTCGTACTTTTATCTATGCTATTGTAGAAGGTCGCCTGATGTACAAATTTTATATTTTTTAATCCTTTCCACTCCAGTGATGACTCATGCACGTTATAAAAAGTCATTATACAAGTCGAACCGTATCGCTTATAAAATGTACTTTTAACTAATGAATTGCGAAATATTTTCTAAATATATATATCAATACAGAAGATTATTATTTTTGTTTGCCCCGAAATTTTAAGTATAAGTGCCTATACTATTTTATACAAATTTCAGTATCGCTCAGGTATATTTGAAAGAAGAAATTCGAGTTTTAAATTCAGATGAATGAGATACACTGATGACTGAATTAGATTTTTATTAGGTGTTAATGCTAATTTCATTAACTGCGAAATAATCCAGCATAAACGTTTATCCCTAGTATCACACGATGAGATATAAGAACGGTACTTTTCCAAGCTGCTTTGAATATCAAAGCTTTCCTTTCATTTTTTAACAATATCTACGATAGCCTATGGAATCTCTGGATATACGCGAGAACATTTTAATTAAGCCGATTTTTAACTTTTTATTTCCTGAGTATATCACTATATTGTTTCAATACAGTATTCTTCCGTAGAAAACAGTTCTGTCGATATGTAAATTACCTGACTCAGCACTTTTTCAATTACATTTCTGATTATTACACGAATATTTCTTTGTATGTATTTCATGAGTTTGAAATTACGCAAATTATTATACCTTGACGCAAATTATAAGACCCTTTTATTGATCATGCTAGATATTTCCAAGCTTAATATTCACAGATAATACGTATTTCGTCATATTCCGAAGACTAATCTACTAAACCTACTAAATCCACTAAAATAATATTATTCGCTCGGAATAATATTTTTACGTTTCTATTCTAATCTACTATTTCCTCGACATTTATTTCTAAGTACTACAAAATGAATCCAAATGAAATAGCCCATTTATTACTTGAACAGACTTACTCCATTCCCCCATTCAATTCAAATGCATCGCAAAGTTGCATTTAGCAAGGAGACTGTAGTATTTTCAAGACCAATATTGCGTCAGAAGTTTATTCTTTTAATTCGCGAAAAGCAAGCAGAGAATGAATTTTTAACCAATCTGTTACTTTAAATATATACGTAGTAAACAACGGTCACGACTTTTGGTCACGAGGATCTGAATCAGTGAATTTTATTCGCTTTTCGAATGTACTCAACAGATTTACGAGTTCAAACACGATAATTGTTTTCTTCGTTTCAGAAGCACATGGTTAGAACGAAGAAAGAAAAATAACGGATGTTCAACGAATTTACAGCTGAAGGTGTCATCAGAAAATCATTAAGGGATTTATGGTTTCCAATGCGACGTGAACCTACTAAACGAAGATTGGTATTTAGAACAAACGATGGCTTAACGAAAGGAATTTTTCTTTCGTATCGCAAAAAGATAATACCCACAAACTCTTGCGGTAAAGCAGATTTTGTGCACTTGTCACTGCTGTCAGCCATGTTTAACACTAAACCTATCATGACCGATCGAATGATCGGTAAACAAAGAAATGAAGGAAAACTTTAGGAAAATGAAACGCGAGAAGATATTGAAAAATCGATTATACCTGTATTGAAAGAAAAATCATAAAGACAAGTAACGAAAACGACAACGTTGAATGCGAAATTTTGAATTTTAAATTAAAAATGATTTCATTTTGGGCTTGGTAAGTTTAGTCTTAATGATGGTATGGAAATGTGAATAGTTTGTTCGTACGAAATTCTAATATAAACACCATTTAGTCGTACCAAAACATTAACAATGATGCTATTAATCCAAAATCGAAGCAATATTTCCATAAAATTTTACTATTACCGAGAAACTAGGTATCTAAAACAGGAACCTAAAAATGTGGCTTTTAAACATACAACTGCACAGTTAAAAATATTAATGAAATATTCTGTGATTCATTTCATGATTTATGGAAAATACGTAAAATTTTTCCTATTTATGAATAATCCAGCCGCTTAACTCGAACGGGTCGAATTTCTTCGATTTAAACAATTGATTCAACGAATCGAGAACGCTTACTCATTTTTCGAGTACTCGCCTACTTGAATTTCTATTACGGCGATCAGCACGGAGAATTTTTCACTGTCAAAAGGCAACGGTGGAAAAGCCCATAGATCCTATAAAATTCTGATGTCGTTACTATGGTATGTATATAGTACGATACGTATATAAGTATTCTTAATAAACTATCCTTAATTTTCTTCATTCTTTTGCACGCGTTACAACAATATTTTATTACATGCTCTACAAATATCTCAGATTTAAAGATATAACTCAACAATAAGCGAAATATTTTCGTCAAATGCTGCTAGTCACAAGAAAATTACACATAACCTCAAACTTTTGAATGATACTGTACAGCAAGAGCGATCAGAAGGAATTAAAGGTTAAAACGATATGCCCGAAAATTAATTACGCAATCGAGCAAAAATGTATACTTTCTAAACACATACTATGTAATAATATACATATATTTCCATCCATAAATCTTTAGGTACTTTTTAAGTTAGAACAATACATTAGTCATAGTCGCAACACTAATTTTACAATATTCTAAATCTTTATTAAAACAGAAAATAATGTGTACAAAGTGTCATTATACAACTTATAATTTATGAAAATTATTATAATTTGTATAAGACACCATAATATAGTGATAAGAAATTTAAAAATAAGAAATTTCAATATCAATAACAAACTTTTTATGATAAAATGAAAATAAAATATTAGAGAATTTTTATATTTGAAATTCTGTTATATTTTATACCAGAATATATAACTGCTATAATAGAATTATAGCCAAAAAATAAAAAAAGAATACAAAAATTTTAAAGGTTAATGCCACGATTTTTGAACTTGCACCGAAAGAAATTATTTATTATATCCTACATTCAAGCAAAGTTTCATTGAAATCAGGTTTGGTGACTTTCTTAGAGTCCGATGACTTATGGATGAAAACGTAAATATACAACAGAATACGATGCTCGTGTTCGACTTAGCGTTCAGCACCAAAATATTTACCACGCTTACTATGATGACTTTTATTAACCATGGGTAGTTATAGAATGAAAGCAATTGTTTTCACCGAAAGAAATTAACGAAAAAAGATACAAATTATCTGAAACAAGAATGAAATATTAACATTTATTTAATGTCCATGAAAAACTGCACAACTGCAAATTCATTGATCACACAATGTATATGCATATTTTTAAGCAAAGTACAGACAACTACATGCAACTTTTAATATATACTTCTATTACATGAATTGAACTAATTTACAGTTAACGCTGAGTAATTCAATTAGATATATTTCCTGATTTCACTTTGAATTTCTTTAAGTTAATGCTTGATCTTATATAAGTATGAACAACGAAGTTACTCGATTACTCGAATCTTCTCGTGTATAATAATCAGAGTTATTCGTCATGTATCGTTTAATCGAAAAGTTTGATGCAAAAGTAAAAGTAAACTCACCAAACAAAATTCCTTGACCAGAGAGGAAGATCAATCCATTTGGCTCACGCAGGTTGTGGCCAATGTACAGCTTATAGATCCCTTTAGCAATTACACCTTAGGAGCGAGACAACGAGGATTCGTTTCAAGCGTTAAACTGTCAAACGGCACCGTTAAGCACAGACTGTGATTAAAATGTGACCTGCCGCTTACATTTTTCCATGTAGAATGTATCGAATCGTGTATGAACGAGTAAGTGATGGAAATGGAAAAAGTCGCGTATTAAACCGCCTAAAGCTGCCTATATATTACAGATATAAACTGCAGCGTGAAAAACATTATGTCGCGACGTAAACGTTTCTTTTCCGCTGGACGAACTGAAGCGAATTGCGAAAGACTCCCGAAGCGAACTGTGCTTACCTCGTCCCAGCCGAACTCTCCCGATCTACCGGCCGTCGTCGTGCTGTGATTGGCTCATTTCCCCTCTAGTTCACTGGACGAAATCCTGTCTCTACCCCTTCCCTTCGGCGTCCGCGAACTCAAAGGTAACAAGCACCAGTGACTTACAACCGACAATTTCTAGTCAACGACTCTTCGGAGGGAATCCCCATAGAATTTTTTCCTGCTTTCCTGCTTTAACTAGACGGCATATATAAATAGAACACGACGTATAAATATTAATACAGAAAAAAAATGTGCATACGTTGAAAGTATTTTCTTATAATGTTACGAGAACTGATATATTTAAATTTAGTCCACTTCAATGGTCAAACTCCTAGGCTTCTTGCATTTTTGACATTCTTAATTTATATTAAATTTAGACTATTATGTGCCTGCCAAAACTAAATTATGTAAAACCAAAATTTATTTTACTTTCTTATATTTGCCATTTAATCTAAATATATGTAATGGACTATGTTCAAAGATATCAAACATTTTAACTTTTGTTACGGCAATTAACTCGAATTATACGTAATATCAGAAAGGAAGTATAAAATACAACAAATGTTATCAAGCAATTCTATACATTAATTGTAGCAATACCTATTCAAAAGAAAGGAAAATTTACAAATACTACACAAATTACCCACTGCTGATAAAAGTCGTTTTCAATATTACCAACACAAATCAGCAGATAAGGCACATATTACCCACTGCTGATAAATGTTGTTTCAATATTACAACACAAATTAGCAGATAAGACATAAATTATCCACTGTCGATAAGAGTCGTTTCCAATATTACCAACAGAAATCAGTAAATACTACAAAAATTACCCACTGCTGATAAGAGCTGTTTCCACTATTAACAACGGAACATAAGAGAAGATTATAGCTTATTAGCTATATTGAATTATCAAATCATGACTAAGAAACGAAAAGAACTAATTACCTATTGCAAATACAGTATAAAATTCCGTATTATGACGATGCTGTTTCTCTTTATACACATTCCTGTTGAATAAAAGAATGAATAATTTACTACAAAATTGTTTACGCACGTACCTGGAAAACTATATACTACTAGAGACGCTGCACAAGTTTACAATTAAAACTAAAAAAGCAAAAGGGAATATACAGAAATATAAAAAGAAGATACTCAAGAGACTATCTTGAAAATCAAGAAAAAGGATTAAAAGCAGATAATAATGTTTCAAATTCAGCAGTTGAAGGAAATTGAAATTATCCACAAATCGGTGGATAAAACAGAAAACAACAACCACAATGTGTGCATAATTAAGAAATGCATAATTAAATAAATAATATTGAAACTAATGACGGATTATCCGTATAACAGACTATTTCGTTGAATTTCGTGACATTTTATTATGCTAAAAGTATCATATCCTGCAGAGTATAACATTTTTAAAAAATCAGGAATTATTTTCACTGCGATACAAACTATTTTATTAGAATTCATTACAGCTACTGTCATGATCTACAATCCGTTTCGATACTCTGCCAGTAACATAGCGTGTAAGCCGTTGATGTGAGCACAGGACCTCTAGAAACAAGGTATGAAGAATACATATAATGTTACTTCTGTTCTATACCCCTCTATTTTCAATATCGATTAAAGAAAACTTTTCAATATTTGTGGACGCCGCGAAAGAATGTATTACTTCGAGAATTTCACAATTTCTTCAAAGCAAATCTAAATAGGTATACATCTTTTATGAGAAAGAAGGTATAAACTTCGATGAACGCTGTTTTGATAGATATACATATGTAAATGATGTGTACATAAAATAAAATAAAAGAAGAACGCTAACCGATCACTCCCCTCTAACCTAATACGTGAAAATCTACGACACGAAGATCGCAGCCAATTAGCTCATATTACTTGCTATATAATTCATATTTGTATCGTAGCTATTAGCTATATATCATACACCTATAGTGATACAACTATGAATTATACGTCAAATAATACAGATTGCCCAGGTCTCACCACGAGGAGGTGCTGCGAATGGAGACCCACCCTAACCACGTCCCAACCTCCCTTCCTTTCATGTAAAAATTAACAAACAAATAATCTCTTTTGATGCACGTTTGCAAAACGTTCAATTTTTGATCGCTGTGTAAATCAAACATCAAAAGAATTTAAACGAAAAACCGACGCGGAAGACTAAATCTAGAAGTAAAAGATAAATTGAAACTGGAAATAAAAGATAAATTAAATCTGGAAACAGAAGACAAATTAAACATAGAAGAAAGAGATAAATTGTGAGAGATGATATTATCCTAGAATTTGTTAATATTGCACAGCTTCATTTCTATAAAAAATATACCAATCAGTAAATAGAAACATAAAAGAAAGCAGGTAATGTTTGGTTCAAACAACAGCACGTCATATGCATATTGGCCTGAAAACGTAGAATAGTTGGCAATTAAATAATTAAAAAAAAAAAAACAAGGATGAAATATCTCCCAAAGCATTAAATATATTCTTCTTACTGAATACTACCCAATACTACTTAATGCTACCCACTTCATGCAACACTTCATGCAGCTCAATATCACTTAATACTAATTAATATTACTTAAAACTAAAAATTTTACTTAACTTAAGAACTAATGTGCTAGCAGTGATCGTAACTTACAACTGACTTCATCATAATCCTAACTTAACATGAAAACATATAACCATTAATTATCATTAATTTCAGAATAATTCATCCATTTGTAAATCCAATTCACCTTCCATTCAATATCTAAAGGAAAAAACAGACCCAAACAACCAAAATGATCCAAAGATAACTAGTACACGTGGAAATAAAATGTGACTTCCAGCTTTCAGTAATCCAAAGAACCCAAAAGAAAAATAATCAGCCCTACTTACATCGAAATTAAAGATATTCCATATTTCTAAACATAGGGAGATCAAGGATATTTTTAACACTATCCTATCAAAAATCAGATGAATTTTTATAAAACCTCTACCTGTCACAAATCTAGAAGCTTTTCGCAGAAGTTTCCTATCACAAATCAAGATAGAATTTCAAACATCCAATATGCACAAGAAACGAAGGATTTGATCAGGAAAATCTGAATATTAAAGAGACACTGTGTGGGTGTTGAAACCACTCACACTGTTTCCGTTGGCACCATAACGTTTCCCAAACACCACACACTGTAGAAAAAATAGTACAATTATTATAAATAATAATCTATATAATTATAAATAAAAATTGTTGAAGTGATAATAAAAAAATAAATGAGGCTCATACATCACTTTCCATAACGTCATTTCCTCCCACGTACGTCATTTCACTTCTGAGCCTCTGACATACTCACATAAGTTCATATATTTGAAATGATATTGAACATGGTGACATGAAAACGTTCTAAATTAATAAATCTGAAACAGACTTAATTACTCGATTAATAGTTGGAGAAGCGGAACAAAACAATGACACCTGAAAGAAGACATGTCACATATTAATGCAACTCATTTGCATGAATTTTTATAAACAAAAATCAATAATTTTCCCGAACACGAAAAAAGAATGTGTAACTTTTATTAGATTCACGATGAGTCGAATTATACACACAAAACGATTATTATGCAAAATTTGTATCTTGCAAAATAAACGAGTATCGCGAGTGAATTTATTTTAAAGCAAATCAAAATTCGAAAATTAATAATATTACGAATTATTGTAAAACAGATAAAATGAGAAGATAAATAAAAGGAAAAAAGGATGGAAAACAGACATATACATATTACAGCAGTATTTTCATTAACAAATATTTCAGTGAAAAAGGGTGCTGAAAAAGAAAATACAATGGTGGCCAAAATAGCCACAAAAACAAATATATCCACTACATATGAACCCGGAAAAAAAAACCGTGAGTGGAATAAATAAATTGTAATTTCGCAACACTAACATACTAAATTGTCTGATAACGGACAATTTTTAAAATCAACCGCGAATAGTGCTTAATGATATTTAAAATGACAATTAATTTTGCATTTACAAAAAAAGAACATAAAAAAATGAGAATGAACAAAAAAAGGCAAAGAACTCGCGAAAATAATCAAAATAAGATAATTCAATTATTAACGCAACACTAATAAATACTAATTTATGCACTCGTATCAAAACAATTCGCAACACTAATGTCAAAAATCCAGGGCAGCCATGGTTGTGGCTGCTGATATATGACCACCTATATGCAACTCTTGCAGTTGCAACAGGTGATTCCCAGGAACAGGAACAGATTTCCACCATATCAGTGGTGAAATTTTGGGCAATCTATATTCGCAACACTACTTCAAGAAACGCGATCATTCTTCAACGCAACACTAATAATAAAAACAATCAGAAAAACCGCGATTCCATTAAAGCGCAGCACTAATTCTTAAAATGAAATCAGTAAAAAATAAAATATATATATGCAGAAAAAGATATTTGATTTTTTTGACTATTCGCGATTAATACAAGTCGCAACACTATAAAGTTAATCAATATTAGTAGCTATGAAAAAATAAAAATTCATGTAAAAAAAATCAAACAAAATCGCGATCTCATAATTCGCAACACTAAATTAACCCGTGATTAATTACTCGCAACACTAAGTACAAAAATCGCGATTTGCCCAAACAGAATGATGGACCGATGAACATCGGCCAGTAAACAAACTACTACTACTTCTACATACTACTAAATATGAGCATAGTGACAAAGTAGTGACAAGAATGACTTCTCATCCAAAGGATAGGAAGCCATTCCTAGGCACCGTTTTCGTGACAGTTTGTCGGGTACCTAATAGCCTCTTCTTCTTTCTTCGGACGCCATGCCCGCTGAAACTTATATCTAGACTCGAGATTCTCTAATCGGAAAAAAAAAAATAAATACAAACCGCGAAGCTAATCAAGACTCACATGGACGAGCAACGATCGAGTGATCGTTACTCGTGCACACGTGCAGAAACTCGAGCACATACGCGTTCGATCACGACCACGACCGCGACGAAGATTTGAAAAAATCGATAGGTAAAGCTAGTGACGAATGGCAACACCCAAACGTGCCAGCTTCACCGTCGACTATTCAAATTATATTTCCTGAAACAGGTTGTGCACGCGAAACGCGCCTACCCGACCTGAGACTGTGCCAACCTGCCCGGCCCTACCTACTTATAATTACCAGGCACACCAGAGTATACTACCTACCTAACTCCTCCTATATTTAAAAAATGGCAAAAATCAAGCATTCCAACACACCACACTCCACGGTTCTCACACATACCACCCGGGCGCAAAAATCCTACACTACAGTAAGCGTCCCGGGACGCCCCCGACACCCGAGTTTGGCAACATGCACACTAACTTTACGTACCATTTTCTGAAATCGGCTGATGACGGCTAGCGACCTTTGCGTAACGCGCGATATTAATCATTCGGCAAATACGAATATGTTAAAGAGCATAATGTCGTTAAGACACGTGGTAAGAGAATTAATAACATTATCGTAAACTGATAGCAAGATTGTAAACTCTATCGCGTTTATGCTATGCATAATCTGCTGTAGTTGATAGCAGATTATTATGTACTTCTATTGCAATGAATATTTATAAATTTTCCGAATGTTTTAAGGTAAAGCGAATAAAATAAATGTACGAACGACGCAATTCCACATCCTAACCACAGACATACAATGTGGAAAATACGTCGTGCACGATACACTAACGCATCGTCAGCCGCTAGGAAATTATTATAAGCTTATGAACTATGGTCATCATGTCCATCGCCTTTCACCCACTCAAGTAGCACCTGGGCACATGAATGAGATCCTGGCAATGAACACGGAAGGGGTTAAACCTGAAAATCCTGAGCTAGAAAAGTGATTAGCGTATACGTGTTTTATCTAACGAACTAACGTTTCATCTTGCATTTTCTGATTTCATTTGCAATGACTTTACTTTTCAAATAAAACAAGTTATAGAAATTTCAGTATTGGAAGGAAATATTCATAATCAATAAGAAAACTATTTATCAAAAGAAAAGAAAGACTAGGACTCGACGTGATGAAATAATTGACTTTAATTTATATAACAATGGAAATATAATAAAACCTCAGAAGATTCTTTCACCAAAGTATATCATATTCGAAAGCACAAAAGTACAAAGGTTATTACTTTGGTTCCAAAATCTGTCTGTCGCGAAATGTTTTCTTGCACTTAATGACAAATGCATTTTAGCATTAACGAAACATAACAGTGATACTACTATATTTTAAATTCGACTCGGATTTATTGCATACCAGTCAAAGAATTGAATATCTCAGTATTATCAAAAGACAAAGAATGGTATTGGCACTAGTTTATTAATGGAACAATGAATAACAATACATAATCATTGTTGCCATATATTAATTACAATTTTCATAATAACGAAGTCGAAGGGCATTCGACTTCTCCACTACAAAATAATCAAATATTCATGTCTATTATTTATAAATAACCATACTAAACATATTTTGATTTTAAAAGTGGCTATAGTAAGAAGGAACTAATAGCCAATATTATATTATTTATGCCACTAATATTATATGTGCCAATGTACCCATATTAACTACTCATATTTCTGTTATTATTGTTCAAAAACGCGAAGTGCAAGAAAACCTATCCTGAATTGATAAATAAAACACAAAAGAAATTTTGTCACTACTCTCGAGTATAATAAATACCCGAGGTCACTATGCTCATAAGAAATTCTACGTAATACAACCAGTCATCCGTGTCGATTTGGACCTTTCGTCCTAAGACATGATTGAATGACCAGAGGAACCAAAATGCATGCAACTCACCGATGGTGCGGAGAACGATGCTGTAGTGGCCCAGGGGAAGTCATCGTGAAGACCGTCATCAGTGAGGGGGCTGATTTGAATAGTAACACAGTTGTCAGATCCATGGAAAAGCGAAGACTGTAGAAAATCTGCAACAAAACGTTCAATGCTACTATTATACCATCAAGTCGCAAATATTTGAAGAGTTTGATTTCATATGATTGATTTAGATATATTCAATTACAATATGCAAACGTACTTACATTCTTGACTTCTGGAGCAGAGATGAATACTGTGCAGTGTAGAACTGACTGCAATGGCATCAGACTTGTCGGATCTACGAAAAAATTTAGAACACGTTGAATATTAAAATTTGTTCTTTAACAAAAGAAATTAATTAAATTACAGTGTGCAAACATACTTACATACTTACGTTCTTGGATTGCAGTGGAGCCTCGGGACCATTCCAGGGTAATGTCGACTCTAATGCCGGTAACGAATATTAAAAAAAAAAAGAAAAATAAAAGATTATTAACGCGTCCGTTTGAATTTCCATCGACGAACACACACTGACTCTACATTCGCGTATCGCTATTATGGTTATATGTAGCAAGAACTATTGGGCTGTGAGGAAAAAGTTTGATACGTAAAAAAGCACTGACTCGAATGGTGGCATCGCGAACGGCGACGAAAATTCCTGTAAAAACGGTATTAGTGAGGGTGACGAATGTCGTGAGAGTTATTCTCCCTGTCGAACAAATGTTAAGAAAATACTGCTCTACTTATGATGTTGTAACCATCCATTATTCCTCCTGTTGATCATTCAAGTCAGAAATAAAACACTTGTTAGAAATACACACCAATGAATGTAATACATTATAACTATTATAAAGAATTTCTCGAGCTTATCAAGCAATTAGAAATGATGAGAATGGAATACAATAGAATTTGAAATATAACTGCGCCATCAACCTGCGCATTCGGGCTGCGCATACTTGCTACGCATACTCACCGCGCATTCGGGCTGCGCATACTTGCTACGCATACTCACCGCGCATACTAACTGCGCATGCCGACCGCGCATACTGACTGCGCATACGGTTTGCAGGATGATATTACGCATAACTTTTTCTGAACTTGCGTTTGAAAATTCAACGCAACTGCAATTACGACTCTCGTAAAAATAATAAAGATTATTGCTTCAGACCGAATTATGAGGATGTTGTAAAATACTCGAAATCGAAATAATGTAATATGTGAATTATTTCGCTTTCAAAGTCAAATATAGCAAGATATAATGAATATGCTTTAAAATCTCAAATATAATAATAATTAAATATTATAAAATGATACATGAAACAAATTACCAATGATACAGTACACAAAAGTACTTACGTACATTCAATAAGTCTGGCTTCGATATAAGAAATTCAACATTACAATGTCTTCACGAAAACTTGGCACATTTGAAGGCACGCGAACATTGCGTCCGTATTTCTTTCTCCAACGCTTTCGCTAACTTCTGATACCTTCTACGCGATTCTTACGATCAACCAACATACTGCACACACGAAAATCATAATTTAGTTCAAATATGTAAAGGTATCACTAATTAAATTGAAATGTAGGAAGAATCATATTCAAATTCTGTTTCAAAGACTATCGATAATTCCATCAGTCCAATTCAGAAATGAAATTGCGGAATAACTTGAAATACTATATAGTCCTATTGGAAAGATGTTCAGAATTGTATTATATGAATACATATTAATCGAATGAAGCTAATGCTACTGCATAGAGGGCAAAAGAATAGAAATGAAAGTTTCATTCAATAATAGACGCGATAACATGCGTACCTGAAATTGGATTACACGTCCAGTTGCCGCGACGTTCAAAAGGAGAATGATCCCACCCTATCATGGCGTCGCCTAGTCATCAACGGATTGGTCGGGAGACCAAGTTCTTCCCGCCATTTCCGTGTCAGAGTGAAAATTTAATATTCGTAAATTTTCATTTATAAAACTGATCATATAACATGATATCACACCAGATATAAAATGCTAAAAGCTGTATTAATTATTCCGATAATACTTCTTTTCTTATATAGATATTTATATGAACATCAGTTTTGTGAGCAGAAAATTAAATTTTTTCAATTTAATGTAATTCGTATCTAAGTAAATAAAATAAATATAATTCTCTGTGAAACTACTCTATTCTTTTTTTCATCTTTGTTAAGATCAATTATTTTGTTTTCAGTGGTATAAAAATATTAAATATTGATTCATGTATATATAGATTTTCTTAAATAAGAGTAATTTTTATATTAAAAAAATTCAAACTTTTCTAAGTAAAATGAAACTTAGTTCATATTTATTAATATTAATAACTTCGCAGATGATAATTTGCTAATCAAAACCATCAACAGTGGATAAAATTAAGAATAGAATATTCTTTTGGTTGAAATCGTCACTCTAAGTATTTATGGCAATATAATATTCTGTATCTTCTTGGTTGTTTTATAATTAAATTTAATTTTAATCTCATCACTACTAATGTTATAATTATATTCTATATTGAATCGCTAGTGTTAGAAATGGCATTAATATGAGATTTTAAAGTATCTATATTATACACGTTTACTATAATATCGATTATAGATAAAGAAATAAAATTCTTTATTATTTTGTCACAAACAATAAAATTGTATCATAGAACAAACGTTGTCTTTGATTATCCCACAAACGAATTGTATGTGATTATACTATTAATGAGCTGCTTTGTATAAAAGTTTACTATTGATAAACTTCTTTATCATAACTTCTTTACCATAACTTCTTCTGTTTCGAGGATGAAACTAAGTATTCGCAGCTTAAATGTACTGTATGTAAGCTACGATTAGAATATAAAACTATAGTATAAAACTATTCGACAATAATTAATTATAAATTTTTATTTTTCATATTCAGTAAAAAGCATTAACATTAATTAATAATTTATTAACATATTCGTTAACAATTTATATTCTAACCTTTTTTAAAGATATATGTTCTACCTTTCATATAATATTGTATACACAAAATTAGAAATTTTTATTATCTTACAAATATGGCACTAATTTTAAAAACCATTAGCGGATTCCAACTGTTCAGTAAATGTATAAAACAAAGGTATTAAATTAAAATAATATATAACTCATTAACCTATTTGTTTGTATGTTTAACTGTTTTAAAAATAAATTCATTTAATTAATTATTTGTTAAAATGTTGACATGAATTTTAATAGATTAATTATTTTAGTCCCTACATGATAACTGTTCCTACTCGTGGTAGGAGACAAAATCCTCCACCAAGAAAACGTCTCCCTGAGTGGCTTCCAAAACCATTACATTTGGCTCGTAGTGAACATCTTACTGCAGAAAATAAAGCATTTGTCTCAGAAGTATCAGCCGATTTTCTTAATAAATCTCCATTAAACACAGAATTGATTCCATCAAATATACCTTGGACTAAAGATTCTAAACGTACTGGTTTAATTGGTAAAAAGATAGGAGTATATCCAATGTGGTTAAAAAATGGAAAAAAAGTACTTGCTACTTTAATACAGATCATAGATAATGAAGTTGTAAAGTATATACCACCAGAAGAATATAAACCAACTATGTACCAGAAACATAAAATACATAAAGTGAAACATGGTTGCCTTATATTAGGTGCAGAGAATATTGATCCACAATTAATTACTAAAGAATATAGTGGAATATTCAATGCGACTGGAGTTGTACCAAAAAGACATTTAATGCGTTTTATAATTTCACCAAATGCTGCTATTCAACCTGGAACTTCTTTATTTGCAACTCATTTCAAACCAGGAGAATTTCTTGATATTCGAGGAAAAACGTAAATCTTTCATTAGTATTGTTATTTTTATGTAGGAGCAATAGAATAATATATATTCTTCATATAGGATAGATCGTGGCTTTCAAGGTGTCATGAAAAGATGGGGTTTTAAAGGTATGCCTGCATCTCATGGTACAACCAAAACACATAGAAGGCCAGGTAACATAGGTTCAGGAAGTGAAATGGCTAGAGTCAAACTAGGCACAAAACTGCCTGGACACATGGGAAATCGTTGGCGTATTATTAGAGGTGTAAAGGTAATTAATAATCTTCATTTATATTTTTTTAGCTTTTATAATTCAAAAAAGAATTTTATCAAATTTATTCTCTATTCACTTGAAACTCCTCAATTATGGAATTATAAAATAAAAATAGGCAATTTTTTGTGAAAGTTCACTTATTTTCTTTCTGTACTTCCTGGCTTTCCTGGTCTACAGAATAAACAGATTGACCAAGATGAAGCAATAAATAGATATTTATTGGTTACCAAATAAATTTTGTCATTTTTTATTATATCTTTATTAACAAATTAATCAGTTTGTGTAAATAAATCCAAACATAATCGTATTTAAATTATTTTCAAATTAGTTTCTACAGTAAAAAGTATTATGCATTCATTTTAAAATAATTCATCTTCTTTTTACATAGTATTTGATATTTTGCTTTGCTTCTAAGTAGTTTATAGGGTAACAAGCAAATTGCAAGAAATAATGGTGTACTTCTACCAACCATCTGTAGTTGAAAAGCTAATTCTGAATTAGCCATTAACTATAGTATATTAATTTTACAATTTTAATTGAATAAATAAAGACAAATTGTATAATTACTTTTTATAAATTAAAAAAGTATACCATCCAATTAAAATGAAACAAAGTTTGCCTTTATTCTGTCTTAAGTATAATTGATATCATTTTTTATAGTATAATAAGTTTTACATAATCAATTGTATTTTCCCTCAATAGTTTATATTTATAGCTAATTGTATTTAAAAAAATAGGAAGTAAAAAATAAGTTAAAAGAATAATTTGTTTTACAGTTATGTAATATATTTTAAGTTTCTTATAAGAAATGTATGAAATAAGCAAAAGAACTCACTATGGTTTAATCTTTTTTCTTATTATTTTTTTACATATAACAATATATTCAAAAGTACAATTGAATTTTTATTCTTCAATAGAATCATATAATTTTAGTATGTCCAATTATTCAGTTAGAGTAAATGATCAAAATGATCTATCAGTACAGTAACTGTATCAAATTATTGTTTATACATATATTTTATATATGAACACTATTTGTTGTAAATATTTTTTGCAAGTTTTATACAAAGATAGTGCATAATTTTTTTTATATAGTTTTACAAAACAAATATTTAAAGGGTTGAGGATCAATATAACTACAAGAACATATTTAATTTTTGCATTTGTCTCAAATATGTAATTACGAATTGTGTATAGAATTTCAATTCAATCTATTATAACTCGCATTTAAGGAATTCAGTATATTTGCCATATAAAATGTATTTAAAATAGAAATAAAATATATTAAATTCTATAACGTTTACATGAAATATTCGAAAAAGTAGATATTTTTGTTGAAATACTTAAGGATTGTACACTATATTAAGCAGTTACAAAATATAAATTATGTAAAGGTATATTACTTTTGAAAGGAAGATATACTATACAGCAGTGGCACTTTGAAATTATTTTACAATACTAACAAAAAATGTATATCCACAATTTGTAAAACTTACATAATTCATTTATCATTTGCTTAAAAATTATAATCTAATATAAATCATATAGAAAACTTGTTAAAACAATGAAGTATATTATTAGGAATACATAAAAAATTTGTTTAATAAGACATATATAATTGGAGCAATCAATTTATCTTCCCTTAATATTCTGATGTTACATACATTAAAAAATTACTTATTATTTCATTTAAATAACTAAAATTGCATTCTCTGAACACGTTATATATAATAAAACTCTTAAATACAGAGAAAATTATATTTTTTGTAGATTAATTTTGACATTATTTAAAATTATTTAAAAATTTCTCAAAGATTAGCAAATAAGAAAAATTATAATAAGAGCATTAACTTTTTGTAGTTGCAATAATAATAATTATGAATAAATTTTTTGTCAAAATTCATTTTAAAAATAATTGCTTATAAGTATATTAATAAATAATTACAGCAATGCAAATATGTTAAAATATTAACGAAATTAGTAGCAATTAGGATGACTTTAAATCATTATTCAACTTTTGTGTACATGTTGCAGATACTACGAATAAACACTAAATATAATATAATTTGGGTATTAGCTCAAAATATACCAGGAGAAGTAAATACCATGTGCTATTTATACGATACGATTTTACCTCTTAAAAGAAATACTTCGCCACATTTTCCCACATATATACCAAATGAAAACACAAATGAACTTCCTGAAAACCTTTATGCGGATGATGTTCACCAATTTACTGATCCAACTATAGTATTTCAACCAGAATCACAATAATTGTAATAATGTTGTAAATAAAGAAAATACTTTTTAATAAGACCATGTTTTATGAAAATATTTAAATCTCTTCGAATTTCTAGATAACTTATCTACCCACGCGATCAAAAGTCTAGGCAAAAATTGGCAATTTAAGTTGCCGTGTTTACGTAATAGTTTTATTGTTTATCCTCTTCCCCTTATAGAAATAATTCATAGCCGTGAATTAAGCTAATAAAGAGTAGTCGATTTATTTATTTAGTAATCAATATTATTATAAATTTAACATGCCTAAAATATACACGAATTGTTTTATAAATGTAACATCACTAACCAAGACTCATCTCAAGTTAGAGTGGAAAGCAGCATGATCAAACAATAAAAAGGACATTTTTCTTTTTCTGTGTCGCTCTTCAACTTAGAGAGCAAATTAATTAATTTACTAGAATAATTTAGTCGGTATAATGCACGTCACTAGTTGCAATCGATTAGGTACCGCTCCACCAATGATTTTAATATGTGTAATCGGAAAAGGAAACAAGGTAACATACACATCGTTAAAAGAATCCAAAAGAAAAGAAAAGAAGAGAACACAAATTCTTATTTCAATAAGAAACTCTTTTGCTCCTAATATAGCTTTATCCTCATTTTGTTCTAATTTCTCCTTCTTTGAGTAAAACATCGGCCAGTCGTAATTACGCTTTTGAATGAGCAAAACCAAACATAATTCTTGATTTAGCAATAACATATTGAAATTGTCACATGTTGTCGTTGGAACAAGAATGAGACAGAATATAAAAGGGTAAGCAGAATAGCTCCGTAATGAAGCTTGTCGGGGGACGGCACGATCAGATAAGAAATAATGGAGGCCCTCTCAGAATTTAAAATCTTCGTTCGAAATGCTCGTCGTCTGATCAAATTCAAATGTTGTTTCCACAACTCGTGGCTCCAAATGTGTATCACTTGTCTAAAAACATTGTAAGATACATATTTTTAGAGTTAAAAAATAAGTGTAAATATAAAAGTATAAAAATTATAAAAATAAAATAAATTCATACCTCTTCGGAAAAGTATTGCTCAATAATATCATACGCTATTTTATAAATATCCCCGTTATCGTGATTTTGCAGTGCTTCGATTTTATCCAAACCTAAAAAAAAAAACATTTTATATAAATTAAAATATTTTGAAATAACATTGTATATAATATTAATATAGAAACCAACCTGAACATTCTTCAATCATATTGGCCAATTGTTCAAGTCGTGATCCAGCAAGTTTGAGCATATTGTGTATACCATCTAAAACAACCTGTACAACTTGATTATCTTTAGAGTCAAGGAGATTACAGAAGGGCCCAACAACGCCTTCCTGTATCACCCGTGCAACTTGTTCATCATTACCACTTATTGTTAAATTGCTGATTGCCCATGCTGCTTCTTTTTGTGTTTGAAATTCACCCTGTTATAAAATGGATATATTAATATCATAAATGATTTAACTTAACAAATATAAATGACTTTAATAACTCTTCTTACATTTGCTAAATTGTGAATAATGAGAGGCAGTAATCCAGCATCTATAACTGCTTGAACTTGAGATTGATTACCAGCAGTTACATTTGAAAGGAACCAAACTGCTTCTTTACAAATTTTTTCCCTCGTATGAGATAACAAATTGGGGAAATACGAAAGTACATCGCAATTTAATACAGTTTGCGTTTGTTCGTCTGTACCTGTTACAATATTACCAACTGCTCTTAAAGCTGCTGTTTGCACTTTAACTTCTTTGTGCGAGAGAAGTGGTATGAGACGAGGCACTACACCACTATCTATAACCAATTGAATTTGTTCATTACCACCATCAGTCAAATAACTGAGAGCCCAAATTGTGTCGACAAGAATCTGTAATATATTTTGAATATGATAAACTGCTTCAGTAGTTATTGATCGTCATAAATATATTAAATACATCATGTCACGTACATTAATATCTGTGTGATGAATAAGTACATTAAGAGCAGGCAAAATTTCTCTAATAGTTGAAGGAGGTGGTGGTGGTTCTTTGCTTCTACATAAATTTACGATTACCCAAGTTACATTACGTAAAAAAGTAATTGGTATATCCGGGTTAATAAATGTTAACAGTGGTGGTATAACACCCAGCTTGATAACATGATCCCTAGATGCTGCACCATCTCCGATAATATTTCCTAGAATAGAAAAGATTGTTAATATGTATATACAATATTCAGTAAGTAAAACATTATTATTTGATTAAAATCATAATAAAATTTAGTACTACGAGCTATCAAAATTATTTAATTTACATTACTTTATATTACACAAAACTGATTATTATATTATACAATAAATTGCTTTCTTTATATATGTAGCATCCCCCACACTTATATTAACTTTCATACCTAAAGCCCATACAGCTTGTTCACAAACTGTTTGTTGAGTTGAATGTAACAAATGCAACAAATGTGGAACTGCACCAGCTTTTACAACAGCCTGCGTCTGATGTGTTGTACCACTTGCAATGTTTGTTAAAGCCCATGCAGCTTCAAATTGCAGTGATGGACTGTAAAATAGATTATATAAAAAATTAATAGTATAAGTTTAAACAATAAATAATTAACACTAACAACATAATATCATAAATAATTTTTTAAGTAAAGCTAGTGTATGCTTGATCATATTTTTATTTCAAAAGCAAAATACTATTATTTCAGTTTCTAAAAACAAAATAAAACCTTATATTAACAACAAATGTTTATCTATAATTACTTTCTTCACTCTCATAAAAGGAAAAATGAATAATATCATAAATTAAAGGTAAATACACATTTAATTATTACTATACCTATTATGCTGTTCAAGACACTTAACTAAAGCTGGTAAAATTTTACTCTCAATTAACAAATCAATTGGTGGATTACGATCTGAAGATAATAACTTTCTTGCTGCTTGAACAGCTTGTAATTGAACACTTGGATCATTACTAGAAGCATTCTCTACTAGATCTGCTAAATTGATTTTTGATATATCATGTTTATCAGTATCTTCTTCATCTAAAAATAAATATTGCTATTTAATAATTATATTTTTTGCTCAATATGCTTTGATATAAATTTTTCTGTGAATCCTTATGAAAAGTATACCTGTTAAACCTGTAGTAGGCACATTTCTTCGTTTTTGTAATGTTTCATCACGTTTACTTTTACGTAACTCTACTGTTACCTCATTTCTTCTTCTTCTCATCTCCTAAAACACGACATCCAACTATTTAAAAATTCATAAAAAATTCATATTGTAACACGTAATAATCAAATATTTTAATATTAGATTTAAAAAAAATAACATAATGTATAGTTGTATGTGAAAAGTAATACGGTTATGATAAAAAAGTAATAAAAATAAACGTTTGCGCATATAAATAGAATACAGTAATTTTAATATAAATACATGCATTTAAAAATATTTCTTCTAATATTAATATTAACTACATCCTCAATTATTAATAATTAAAATATTTAATATTTTTTATATAATATAACAAAATACAGATAATAATCATATATTTACTGGAATCTAATAGTAATGCTCAATTTTCTAGAAATAACATATTTACTTATTACTTATCGTATTATTCATAATATTTCTAAAATTAACTTTTAATTTTACTTACAAATATAACAGTAGCAAAGTATTTATCAATAGTATATTTTCACAGATATTTGTAATTTGTAAGCATTTTTATTGTTTAAACTACTAATGATATTGTTATAGCATTTACATTCTATAATGACCCAACATTATTGCGATATTTTTGACAGGCATTTTGCGATAAAAAAAATTGCGATAAAAACTGAAACAATTATTTATGTCAAAAATAATACGACATTGTGTAATAAGTTATTTATAATGTTTTCAGCAAGCAGTTAAAATAAAACAACTTGAATACATTTTTTATAATGATTCGTTCAATTCTATCTTTGATAGTGCTATATTTGACATTAATCTAACGACACTTTCCACTTGTTCGGAATAACACGATTCTATTCAAAACATAATGCAGCATTTGGTAGAATTATATATAAATTTTTATGGGTTTTGTATAAATTAGATATGCGAAAATGTCCAAAAATCTACCCAGAATAACAAAGTATGCAAATACATTGTACAAATTTGAAAAAAACTAGCGCCCATAATAATCTTGCGTTTATCCACTCAGTACGACAGCCGAACCTTCCAGACGCACAACGTAACTGCGCACAACGAAGAACACACCGGATACTCACATCTTGATCTTTGCCTTTGTTCTTAAAAACCATCATTCGATTCTTGCTTAGCATTTCCGCCGCCATTTTTTCAATAACCAATCCTTCGCACTCACGTATATTGATATGTGCCGGTACCCGGATACCCTTGTTACTGCGAAAATTCTGTATCCGTGTTACTGCGGTCGATTTACTTCGACAGCTGCATACCGTTGCGCGACAGCCTTAATGTACGTCAATATGCAGTGCAATATAATGTATAACACTCGTTCTCTTGATCACGATCGCCACACGATGTTCTCTGTAGTCACGTTTTCTCAGCACAAACGTTGCGTTTCAGCCATTCCGAAAGGAGCACAGGAAATGAGCAAGGTGGCGCTTCGGAAGACGCGTGTTTTCACTATGTTCACCTTCGCAGTCAGTAAAATGAGACTGGCAAGCAACAGAACAGCGCCGCGAAAATATAGTAATTTCTTCTTATCTATAAACTATGTTTGTACTTCTAGTTTCAGATAATTTATGTTTCCAATATTTAAAATATATAATGAAACAATATTCTGATAAAAATAAGTAACATTTTTAACTGTATGGAAAGATAATTTACCATACTCAAAAAAAATTCCTATAAAATCAATATATAAAAAACAAAAATTACATACGTAATAATCATACATTTATAATCAAATAAATAAAATTTATGTATATAACAATTGCAAATAACATAATATAATTTTGTTTTAATATATTTTTACAAGCAATAATATATACGAAATTTAGCTAGGGAAAAATTATTCATCGTGCAGTGGAAATAACTAGACAAGTACAACAACTTTTATATGATAGTAATAATTAATTGTAATGTTACCACATATATATAAATTTAAATTAATTATCTTCCAACAATTATTGTGGAATATTAATAAAATGTAAAAAAATAATAATAAAAAGAAGAAAATATTTTATAAAACAATAGAATAAGTTTAATATTATTACAACACAAAAAATAATAATTTAATACGATTACTAACATTAAATACTATTCGTAGTAATAATATCGTATAGTTAATTGTATTTAAAAGATATTTCGAAATTTAATCTAATTGTTTTTTCTTACTTAGTTTTTTAAACTTTAAATAAAATAATGATATAAAAGTTCATAGATATTTTACATTTTAACCCTAAAGATTATAAATATAGTTATAAAATTGCGAAATTTTTTATATTCCATATGAAAAATTTATATTTGTAGTATACTTAAAATATGGCTTTCAATAACTTTTTAATTTATTCATACTATTAGTTTAATTTTTAAACATACATGTACGTATATAAAATTTTATTCGTAGGTCAGTATTAGTTAAATACTATATAAATTAGAGATTATAACAAAATTTATGTTATACTTTAAAAAACACTTCTTTTTTATTAAAAGAATAAGTCAAACATCTAATAAAATATCTTGGTTGTGAATAATAAAACCCAGGGAACTCTAAATTATGATTACTACACTGGTCTATATACACACACTATTGTTCACAATCTCGAATGTTCTGTCCGCATGTCCAAATTCTTCGTATCTATTATAGGGTCTAAAATTTAAATGAAATTGAAAATACAATTACGTTGATATGTGTTGCATTAAATTTATAAATATACGTTTTTGCATTAAAATAATACACCAATATAAACTTTTTAAACGAATTTAGTCAACATATTGATAATATTTGGGATTAATATCTACTTTCTTTGGAAGTTTCTCTACTACGTGAACAGTCACAATATTATACTGTTTTCGAGATAATTGAACCACAGCACCACAGTAAGTTCTAAGCGTAAAATAATATCCAAATTCAATAGAGGTTAATAAAGAATATCCCAAAAAAAGACCTGCAATACCTCCGAATGATACAAGTAGATCTAAATAACCGAATCGCATTTCCCTTTTGTAAAGAGCTGTAGGCCAATTTCTTAATACAATTCGATTTACGCTTCTTGGTGACTTTTGTATCTCTCTTACACTATACGATACATGATCACACGAGATCCAACAATTACATTGAGCTGCATCAATATTAATATTTTTTAAGCAGAAATATTTTGAAATTGAACATTCTGTTTTATCGACAAATGATAAAAACCATGGTAAACATTTACAATGTTTATATAATTTGTCGATAAAACAGTTGATTTCGCAATCATTAAAGTTTACATCCTCTTGTTTATAATAACATTTTCGTTGTCGGAGAGATAAATAACGAATGTCAGGAGTTGTATATGTTATATCAACGATAAATTCAACATTTACGGGAAAATGAACTTTTACTACTGGCCTTTCACTCGGAAATGGGCTCGAATCATTTTGTGTAAAATAAAATCTGCAATTTGAAATTTTAATTTAGAAATATTATAATAACATCGTAAATGTATCTGATATAAATTATATACAGCAAATAATATAGTATTATATATATGAAACAGTTGAAAATGCATTACTGCTGTACTATTATAACTTATTTTATATAATAATTCTCTAATAATTTTTTATTTTTTATACCGGAATTTTATGTAAAATATCTATTTATTAAACAATTAAGACTATTATTATTTTTGTATATTTTCTTTTTCTTTTATTACGCAAGGTTTTATAATATATAATTTTAAATATCTCATTATCGCTATTAAGTAATATTAGTTCGCTGATATAAGGCATAAAAATTGTTAAATTAAAATATTATAATAATTCTTTGGGGACACTACACATTAATTAAAAGAAATATTGAGTTTAACAAATTGTAGAATTTTTAATAAATAAAGTAATATTACCTCAAAGGAAAAGTTGCACTAGGAGTTCTGAATTCAAAACTCCACGAAATATCCATAATTTTAAGTGGTTCCAAATTTTTAGATTTACAACATGTACCTACAGAAGTAGTTACTTTTGTAAATACTTTATCACATGATGTGCCTATTCCCCTAAAAAGAGAAAAATAAAGAGAAATGTAATAATACTTATGAGATATGCTATAATGTTATTCCAATTATATTTCAGAAAAGGTTATTCAATTCAAAATTTTCCCATTAATATTGAAATAATCTTCACTTGTTCCAGGAACTTCACAATATTATTTCTCACCTTTAACAAATAAAAATTTCATTAATACATATCATAATAATAAATATATTTAAAAATTTTATTTTAATTTTGTTTTCGAGTGAAGCTAAAGACGATATTTACCTGTATTCACAGTCACTAATTAAGGAATCACAATCTGGACTCATTGCTTCAAAAATCTTACGAAAATTGTTTTTATTTTTGTAAATAAGATGAAACGATTTTAAATCAACATGTTTTTCGAAATTCCAATTGTACAATGCTTCGTACATATACATTTCATTCTGTGCACACCATATGAATATAAATATTAGTTTATAAAAATATACATAAGATAAATTATGTATATTTCAAACTAGCATTAATGTAAACAACTATTATAATATTATAACTCATGTAACAATTATTAAAATTATTAAAAAGTAACATTATAAACCTATATTAAAATTGATCGTATATACATATTTTCAAAATTTAGCAATTATCATTCAACTACCAAATTCTAATGAATAAAGTGAATATTATCTTTATCAAAAATAGTTGGAATAAGTCATTTTAATGGTGGTTTGGTAGTTTTACTTTTAAGGAGTTCACATATTCATCTCAAATGAAACTAAAGAATTAATTTCTAATTTTTGTACTTTTCCTTTGATTTATAATTTTTGCATTTAGAAAAGATTGTTGTTAGTAAATCTAAACATTGTCGAATAAAATAAAAACAGGAACATATTTGTGAGATTACTTGCCAGAGATGAAAAACCATTTAGTTTGTCAATATACAACAAAATTAGCCAAAATTAGTAATTTTCATAAATGATACTTTATTGACTATCGAATTTTTATAATACATTACATTATAAATGTTCATATTTGGTCGTATATTTTTCATTTTATATTCTCTCCGTTTTAATAGTATTTTAATCATTTTATTGAATATATGATTTCCCTTCTATAATGGTATTTTAGTAGTATTTTTAACATAATTTCTACATCCAGAATTTACTTCCATTATCAAACGTTTCTTGTACTAATGAATATAAATCTAATTTATCGAAATAATTTATTAATACGTTTACCTGAGGTATATACGAATAATTCATATGGTTCCAGTCAAAACAAACAAAGATTTGAGGGAATTCAATGTTAATGTGGTCTGTCATTATGTCCAATCCAGTTATGGTTGGTTCTGTTTGAAACTTGTCCAAAATAATGATGATTATAGCTACAATCGCCGCTACTGATGCCAATGTTAATAGAAACCATACTACTCTATAAGTAAGTCAGTCATAAATTAGGTATTGATGCCTCCATTTCTTTTTGACCTTTTCTTTACTAAAATTAGTAATATACTACATACATAATTAAAACACTACGTTGGGTAACTATAGTTATTTTAATAAAGAAACTATACCTATTTTATTTATTTATTTATTATCATTGCACTATTTATTAATTCATTTCATTATTGTTATTACATAATTTATTTACAATATTATTAATTAATTAATATATTTTTATTACTCGTATTTACTAATCTTTCATTGGCAAATTATAAATCGAAATAAGAATTAGTAAAAGGAAGAAGAAAATATATGGTGGATCAGCAATCATTGTGATTTCAACATTATTCAGATTTTGGAAATTCGAGTTAAACGTATTTTTGACTCTTAAAAATACCATTCATTTAGTTTTACAGTTAGCCTATGAAATTGAGCCATTTATTTACCAAATCGATGAACTCCACAGAAACAAGAAATAAAAATTTATTTTAAGTGCAGAAAATTAAATGCTTTGGTACAAAAATACGAAGTATTGTGAATTTATAAATATTTTGAAGGTGAAATTTGATGAATCCGATCAATTTCAATAATTAATTTCATTCGTTAAAATAACTTCATCGCTATATAATATGAAATGACAAAAAATGATAACGTTATTGTATATTTCATTCAAATTATTATAAAATAATACGTATTCGTGCATTTCGAGAAAGTAAAACTATGCATAACCATGACGAAACAGGTTCATTACGCTATTTTAGTTTGATTACGAGATTACCTTTCCCATTTAGGTCTCGTAGGATCCACGAAATATTGAACGCCATCCAAAGTATTTTCCAGAAGATATTGCCTTAATCGATGATTGAAACTAAAACGCAGTTCTCTTAACGATGGATTATATTTGTATTTCATTTTAGACTAGAACTAGTAATGTATTCTTTTGCAACTATACCGTTACTAAATAGGCTCAAGAAGAAAATCACATCGATCTCTTCTACAAGTCGCATGTTCAGTTTGGTCATATATTATGAATATCGTGTACATAACACGTGTAATTTATCAATTTTATCAACGAGAAAGAAAAAAGTCTAATTATAAATTAATATTGTATAAAACGAAAAAGCAGTAATATTCAAATATCCATTTATAACAAAAATTTTATTTCGATTGATCTCATGCTATAACTGTTAATTGACCATCTTAAAGTTTTAGAAGATTGCATTGAATAGTATTTTATATTATTTATTCCAAAAATATGATAAGAAAATATAAAGGTGTTTGAAATCGAATATCCTTCTCTTGTCTTTTTAAAACGGAAGAATCATAATTTGGAGTTCATTAAAAATGTTGTCTCTTGTCGATGCCATCTTAACAGTTCTACTACCAACTATTTTTTCTTATTATTATTATCTTTCTTATTTTTACACTTGCAACTTGTTAGTGAAGATATATAGTTGTTTTTCACGAAATTAATGTTAATTCTACCGTGATGATGCGATATTTAAACATACATTATAGGTCGATGGTTCTACTGTTAATAACTGTCCAAGAAATGATTCAATTTTTCTCACAAAGTTATGACAAAAATGCAAGTAAAGTAGTTCAACACGAATGAAAAAGATGATCAATTGACGAAAAAGTTTACAAGAATATCACGTTCTTCCTTGGAAAGAAATGATCGAAAATATTTATTGTTCTTCGTTTCTAGGAAGAAAGATGGTTGCCTAGAGGAAATTATCGATAACTTTCGATGTATTCGAAGTATTGTCTTTCGAATATACGTTTTTCCAGTTGCATCTTGTCGTTTAGGAATCGGCCCATCGCGTGTGGAAACACAAACACTCTTCATCTTCATGCCAGCTTCTTTATTATTTTAGACCACTCCCTCTTACGACCACCATCTGCATGCATACCGACGTTGTTCCGGTGTTCGGTATGCACGAGAAAATCGACGATTTGGAATTTAAGCGGGTGTAAACTACCCTCTTGATGTCTTTCTCGGATCTGATTTCCTTTAAAAACCCCTCCACTTTCGAACCATAATGTTAAAAGTCGTCGCGTTCCATCGTCAAATGTACAGTTTGTTTTTCTAATCTAAAGACCATGTCCGCCTGTCGGATATTGTTTTTCACTCTCTAAGGAAATAAAAACAAATTAAAGATTAAGAGATTGATCAAATAAACGAGAATGTTTCGAATAATTCGTTATTCGAATCGCTGTGTCGCTTTCGTCGTCATTTTCATACTATTTGACGAATACTACGTAATCGAGAACTAGACAGGTGGTAATTATGAAAGTACCCTAACAATAAGTCACGTATCTGAAAGAAATGAATTTTTCACTTAGTTGTTATCATATCCGTTTATTTCATAATAATGTAAGATTATTTTCAACCAACGTGCCATACCCTAACAATTCACAGATGTATTAATAATTCTAAGAGTTATATTATTTCAAGAAATACCTTTATCCATTTCATCGATTCTTCAACAAGGAAACAGGATATTCTACCATCGTCAATTTGTTTTTACAGAACCGGTGAATTTTTCTTCTATCATGATTCAGGAAATAGCTATTACTTATTCTCGCTTCGCAACTTAAAAAAGTGCATCATCGGGTAAAATGAAATCCTGTAAGAAAGGTCTTACAGATATTGTTTAGCAGAAATATATAATACGTTTCATATAATATGTTTTAAACGATGTAAAAGGTAATACGATTTATATAATTTATATATTTATATGTAATTTATGCTGCGCGAGACGAAAATGCTCGAAGATCTCGAACATGACCAATCATACATTTTGCATCTTGTTCCATAAAGTCCTCGTGATAACGATAAGGATTGACCAAAGTATCCACAGTGACGAAAGTTGCCCATCTTCCACGTTGCATGACAATTTAAATTGTCACGAGCTTCTGTAATAATAAAACTCGTCTGAAAGAAAGGAAAAAGGAATGAACGATCCCCTTTGTTAGGTGCCGTTTGACGCACGGGCGAGAAAATACTTCGAGGAAAAAGAAGCGACGCTATTCTTGTGTCCAGGTGTGAGCCTGTAACGCCAATGTAAATATACAACACTTACGCCATTCGGACGAAGCCTCTTCGAAAACTATTAACGTATTCCCCTGTTGCGGCTTCGCCGACCATTTTTCCGTTCCGACCCATTTCTCTTTCTGCCGGATCATGTTTTGGTCCTTTGAGAACATAAAGTGGCACGTATTAAAGAACTTAATCAGGTAGACCACGGTCGTTAACCAACCACCAAGACGATCATCGTCAAGGTACAGCTATATTTTCAGAATGGTATACACAAGTTACTAGGTTTTACCGGTAAATCCTAGCATTTATCATAGTGAGTTGGTAAAAGTTCGTAAGATGTTTGTAAATGTTTTGCTTGAACGTTTTGTTATTCTTAGTGTTTTTTACACTAACAGCGAGAGTGCAAGACCTTCGGGTCACCGATTTAGTTGGAACTTTGCAGGCTTGTAGATATCGTCATGCAGTTTAAGCAAATATATCATTATAGTTGCAACTACTCAATAGTTTTTGAAATATTTACAATTAAAGTTTTATTATTCCTATAATTACAGCTTTATTTCTAATATTCTTCAATTGAAATTGTAGCCTGTTGTAATAGTCCAAAATTTGTTGTGCTGAAGGACCTGGGTTCGATTCTTGTTGATCGTTAATATTTTTATTTAATTTATTTCTTATTTTGTATTCATTTTTCGTCTATGAAAACATTGTAAATAAACAATTGTAAATAAAATTTCTTAATAAAATAATTTATTTTTTACGCTTCCTTATGCTGGTATATATTTATTACAAAATAAGAATATTATGCCAGAAGAACACTTTTCTATAGCAATCTTATTTATTACAGGAAATATAAAACCTATCGCTCATGTAAGTATTAATTATTAAATTAAACATTGTATAAGAATGTTGTCTATAATTCCAACTTTGCTGTGCAGCTACAAATGTCGATAAATTAATTACAAAAACTTGAAAATTTATTAATTTTCTACTGCCGAATTGATTTATTAAGGTGTACTATTAGCGCATAAAGAGAACAGGTATCTAGTTCGAATTAAAATTTTACCGCCTGCGATCAGCGTCATCTATGATTTGGGCTCAAAAATCAAGAAAGTGATAGGATTATAGAATAGGCGAGGAGGTCGTCGAAGAGCTCGTCACGTGACAGACTAGGACAGAGAGGGGATAGAAAAGGATAGAATGGCTCCGGCAGTGAAAAATTATTAATTACTCCATTTCTGTAATTAATTTATGAACTTTTATAATTTCATTGCAAAGCTGGAACTTCAGGCTACATTC